ACCACATAAAATCCTATGCCGCTGCAATGGATGCATCAAAGATCATGGTATTTGTCAGTGCAGTCATAAGCTATGCAAGCCTTGGACACTTGGACCTTTGCAGCCCAGACCTACTCAACCTCTATCAAGAATGCCTTTTCATGGCTCAATCCTTTGGTGACATCTCTATTGCCATTYAGTTATACTTGCTGCTTGGCTTATTGAATGAAGAAATGAARAATGCTAAAGAATYKTTAWTATATTACAAAGGTTTTCTAAAGGMWGCAGAGGAACTAGGTGATRAATCACTTAAGCAAGAGGCGTACACCCRKTTAGGAATTACATATCAGAGGCTAGGAATATATGASGAAGCYATMAAGTGTTTTCAGAAGTGCTTAGACATTGCCATGGCAACAGGAGACAAAAAYGAGGTGAGCTTTTTCTACAAAAAAATAGGAAGTCTCTATGAGAAAACCCACMAGTTCCAGSAAGCTATATCTTGCCATGAAAAATTCCTAGAAGTTGTATCAGAACCGAATTCCAAAAAGGAGGAACTAAGTGCTATTGCAAAGTTAGGCATTTTACATTTTTATCTAGGGCAATACCTCAAGTCAGTGGRATACTCCCAAAAAGCTGTTGAAATTGCTAAAGACTTAGTTGAGAGGAAAGAAGAAGGAGACGCTTATGGAAACCTAGGAAACGCTTACCAGAAGTTAGGCAAGTACGAAGAAGCAGTCCAGTGTTTTGAAAAGTACTTGGGGTTTGCAAAGGAAGTAGGTAAGAAGGAAGTARAAAGAATAATATACTGGAACTTAGGATGTGCATTCAAAAAGCTATCAAAGCACCAAGATGCCATTGCCAATCTTGAAGAATTCCTCAAGATGTCTATTAGTATGGGTGACAAGAAAGGAGAGATGATGGCATATGGTAACTTAGCAAACCCTTACGAAAAGTTAGGCAAATATGATAAGCTGATYGAAGTYTCAGAAAAAAGTTTAAAGATTGCACAAGCAATAAAARACAAAGAGGGAGAAGCAGTGGCTTGTCTGCATTTGGGAGTTGCCTACCARACATTAGGGGAGCTCCATAAAGCCACCRAATTTCATGAAAAGAGTTTAAAGTTTGCCCAAGAAATTGGTGACAAGAAGATCGAGAGCCATGCCCATACAAACTTGGGGAACACCAATCGAATGTTAAGAGAGCAAAACAAGGCCACCACGCATTATGAGGAAAGCATGAGGCTTAGCAGAGAGTTGAAAGATAGAGAAGGAGAGAKTGATTCCTTTTTGAATCTAGGAGTTCTCTACGCAGGGTCAGGGAGGTACCAAGAAGCCATGACATGTTACCAAAAGAGCCTTGATATCTCTATGGAAACAGGAAGCAAGCATGGAGAAGGGACAGCCTATGTGAACATGGGAAGTGTTTGCTCAACATYAGGCAAGTACCATGAGGCATATGTTTACTTTGAAAAAGCTCTTGCTGTCTTCAAAGATGTAGGATACAGSAAACGAGAGGGGGAAGTGYACAGAATCCTTGGGAATTTTTACGCAAATTTAGGAATGTACAAGAAATCTCTCGAAAATCACCAAAGCAGTTTCGATATTGCTAAAGAGACTGGAGATAAAATGGGTCGAGAAAGTGCTTTGGGCAACATGGCGTCTGCCCATCAGAAACTAAATAACTTCTCCGAGGCCTTGGAGAAGTACGAAGAGTGTCTGGAGATTGCTCAAAATGTCGGTGATAAGATCGGAGAAGGAAGGACATTTGCTAACATTGGGAGTCTTCACCAGTCRCAATGTGAATATGACAAGGCCCTTGACTTCTATAYGAAGAGTCTTAAAATTGCCCWAGAAATTGGTGACAAAAAATCCCTTGCAAATGCATATGGAAACCTAGGAGGCCTTTTTGTTTTGTTGGAAAAATACGACGAAGCAATTGAATCTGGTGAAAGGAGCTTGCGCATTGTTGAAGACACAGGAGAGAGAAGGATCGAAGGAAAGGCTTACAATAACCTTGGTTCAGCTTACCACCACATAAGTAGCGATACGAATAAAGATGCAAACACCCGTCAACAAGCAAAAGAAAAGGAGATCTTCTACTTGCAAGAGGCTTTGAAGATCTGGGAATGGTTGTACGGCCATCTAGGGGACAAGGATGAATTCAAGATATCCATCGTTGATACGTATATCATCACCTACAAAATGCTTACAGCAGTGCTGATTGAAAACCAGGAAATAGAAGAAGCTCTTCTGGTTTGTGATAGAGGAAGAGCTCGTGCCCTAGGTGATCTTTTGTACTCCAAGTACAGTATGAACAATGAAGATGGCTCTGAGAACGCATCCCACCTGGAAAAGACGGACATAGAAAACGTTTGCTCTGCAAATGTTTCCATTGTGTCATTTTCTTTCAATAAGGGCATTGTAGCATGGGTCTTAGAGCAGCAAAAGGCGTTACATTTCACTGAATGTGATAGTAAAATGTTGATTACTCATGCTGAAGGTAATATCTCGCAAAAGAGTGGAAAAATCGAGGACAAAGATCTTCAGAAGATTCTATACCAGATTATCAACAGAGCGTATGAGAGGATGGAAATCGATGAGGAAGAGGAAGACAAATCTATGGAATCACTCAGTGGCAATACCAACAACTTGAATGTTAATAGTGCTGTTAAGGAATCGTTGCCTGGGCCTTCAGATAAAGAG